GCAACTCTAAGACAAAAAGAATCTAATCAAATCTTATCATTCTAACGCAAGAGGAACAGGAGAGCACAAAACTAGCATTGGTACATTTACTTTTTCCCTAATCTCTACAGTCCAAATGTTGAATGATAACCGTTACAAATGTTAATAGAAACCAAATAAATACTCACAAAGGATGATCCAGGACGACCAGAGGGTAATTTATATTTACCAAATAGGCAGTGAAGAAACTTTACAAACTGAAAAAGGAAAACAAATAAGCTAGACATTGTTGAGAACCTCATTTATGTTTCAAAACAAATAAGGCTATCTAATTAATAGAGAAAAACTAAATTAGCTACATAGCCGGGGCTTTTTTGTCTCCTAGAAATGCAAGTAAAGAAGAGAAAAGGTGGTGTCTGGTAAGGATAGTGTGTGCATAACTAGCAATTTAGACTAGATTAATAAGCAAAATGATGCACGGATAATCATATGAAATCATTAGGTCAAAGCTAGTCTTGGATCATCCTCGTGTTAATTAATTAACTAAACTTACTCAAACCCCAATTAGCTTCTATTAATTCTCTTAGTTATATATATTGATCGATACTAAGTTGTTTCTTGACAAAAATTTCTCAATTGGATCCTCAAAACAACAAATTATTTATAAATCCAAGTTATATGTAGGATAGACATGGTAACGATTCCCGAACCGTTGGTTTCGATTTAGAAACCGTCGGTTAAGGTTCCACCAAAAAGTGGAACCTAAACCAAACCTTCTATAGATGATTACGGTTCCGACTTGGAACCGTAAAACCGATGGTTCCAAACCTGTTTAGAACCAATGGTTCAACGGTTTTTTTTACTAATTGAAAAAATAAAAAAAATCGAACATTTTTTCTCAAGTATAAATCAAACATTATTATTGAAACGAAAAAACTTATTTTTTACATAATGTATATAAATATTATAATACTTTTTACATTAGAATGTATTTCGCACAATAAATTAAAGGAAAAAAATAAATAAATAAGGGCTTGAACTTAATTTTTGTAAACACTACAAAAATTAAGCTTCTTACGTATCCTCTTGGGATTTAGAGGAATCAAAGCTTACATAGTTCTCTTTTACATTCAAATTACCCTTTTACAAATTATACCTATGTTCTATGTAGTTGCGCCTAGTTGCTTTCTTGACCGAAAGTTTCGGCTTCGAAGTTTCTATTGTTTTGCCATAAGGTGTTAGATCCACACTTTCTTCGTTGAAATCATATTGTTTTTGTTATTGTGTTCTCTTGTCGGCTCTTATCCAATTATCGACGCATACGTAGGCTTCAAGTGACTAAGGAGCCGGTTGTGATCGCCTATCATTTAAAATATTACCTCCGGAGCTAAATGCTCTTTCAACGGTCATTGTTGAAGCCGGCACGGCAAGTATTTGTCTAGCTATTATGGACGGGATCGGAAAAGTGCTCGTATGTTTTTTTCACCAACCAATTACTTCAAAATCTACACATGCATTGCTATCACCAAACTCAAACACGGTTGTTAGATAAATATCAAGTTCGGAAGTGGAGCTCGATGATCCTCTTGGCCTTTTTGTCCTTTCCATAGCCATAAGATAACCTAGCTCTAACACATTGACTACTTGATAGTGATTGTGGCATAACCGGTAAAAAGGAACTAGCATGTTGATCACTCACAATTAAAGATATTTCAATATACAAATTTCTAACTCGATTTATAATAAAAGCGAGTTTCTAATTCTATATTTTTATCAAATAATTACAAATACTCATAATAAGTATTCAAAAAAGCAAAAAGACCTTCCATTCTAAATCTAGGATCAAAGACTAAAGCAATAAGATAAATAGGTGCAATTGTTTCATAATAATTTAACTATTTTTGTTTCATTATTTGAACAACATCATGTAAAGTTGGCATACCTTATTCTACATGATTAAAAGCTTCAACAATATTAATTGCTTCAATCATAAATAAATGTGAAGTTGGTTGATAAACGACACTAAAAGTGCATGTGGCATTGTTCAAAACACTTAAAAGTTCCAAAAGTGGTTTGCAAATATCAAAATCATTTTGACAAATAAAAACAGAATCAATATTTTCTATAAAAAATGAGCATAATAAATCTTGATATTTAAATGACTCGTCTAAGTAAGTCATAAGTTGAATTCTAACGAGTTGTAACATTTTTTAAAAATCATCTTGGTTTTTTGTTTCTTTATTTGCAGAACTTTCCTCATGATTTCAACTTTTGGGGATGCGTCCATAAATATTTAACAAGAGCTTTAATTGGCCTAACAATATCTTTAAGATATTTCAAACCAGATTGCACACAAATTTAAAGCATGACATATGCATCTAGTATGAAAAAACTTACCTCCAAGGTGGGGTTGACAAAGTTCTTTTAAGAAGTCTATTGAAGCATCATTAGAACTAGCATTATCAAAAGAAATTGAAAATATTTTTAAAGGTAAAATATATTCATCTAAAATCCTTTTTAGTATCTTATATATATTTTGAAGCTGTATGTTTATCATAAAAAACTCTATATGCAAGAAGACGTTTTTGCATGTGTCATTCATTATCAATCCAATGACAAGTTACACCTATAAAGGAGTGAATTTGCCATGATCGGACCATATATCGTAACATATAGAAACACAACCATTCAAAGTTACAAATAATACGAGTTAATTCTCTTTTTTTATCTCCATACAATTGTATAACTAGTTTTTTTTTAAGAATGTATTTCAATTTGTTTGAAAGCGGGATTCAAAGCGTTAGAACAATAATCACTAAAATCCATTTTTTGACCAAAAATAAAAGATAAATGATCAATATATATCATTTTATCCATTTCTTCTTTATTTTTTTTATCAATATACGAAAATAAAGAGAAATATTGAGAAGCAAACCCGAATATTTGTGTCCGATGTTTATCATTACCAAGTACATATGGATGCTTTTTCTAGTGGGTTTTGAATGTTTCATAACCACCTCCTTGTTTGAATGTGTATTGCTTATTGCAATAGTTGCAAATCACGAGTAAAAACGTATTTTTCTAAAGGAACTTTTAAAAAATGAATTTTGAAGATTTCGGATGATCTAGGTATAAAATTTGATTATTGTTGTTGTTCCCCTGCCTAATTTTGATTAGCGACATTACTTTGTTATGATGGCATATGTAAACTTGAATTTGTCATTTTTTGTAGTATAAAACAATAGAAATGTAAAAAATTTAAGAAGTATTTGGAGTATAAAAAATATTGTAAGAAAGTATTGAGAATTCTAGACTTAAGAGTTTAAGAGATTGAGAGAGAATGAGAGATTGATTTGTGAGGAGAATGAAAAAATTGAGAGTGTATTTATAGAAAAAAAACGATCACATTTGTGACCATTTGTCACACACACACACATACATATATATTAAGCCTAAAAATTAAAAATTATTAGGCTTAATTTTTTTTTTTTCATTTTTAAGTCCAATAAGCTACTCGTCCAACCCATATAAAATTGATTTTTTTATTTAATTTTTTTTTTATCCAAACCAAATTTATTAGAAAAGATGTGGAACCGTTTGTTCTACGATTAACCATCGGTTTAGAACCGTCGGTTCCGATTCCATGATACTTTAAACCATAATCAACCTTTATGTAGCCATTTATGATCCGGTTTGGTCAAGGTTACGATTTTAACGGTTTCAATTTGATTTTTTAACGAGTTCGATTTCGATTCGGTTTATTGTTCAAACCGAACCGTTATCATGTCTATGTAGGGATGACAATAGAAAGATACCCGATCCATTAATTCATTTTTTTTTACTTTACTCATAAAAAAAAATATCATATCCATTATTTATTAAGAAATCATTGTATAAATTTGTGTCTAGTCTATACTCGATCCACATTAGTTTACTCTCCTATTTAGTACCCATTAATGCAATCTAAAAATAATTTATAAAAAATATTCATTTTAGTCCTTATAATTTTTTTTAAAAATAGGTTCTTAAATTTTATTTTATTTTTTCATTATTTTTTTTCAATTTGGCCATTTCTCTATAAGTTTTTTAGTTGTCAAAGTTTTTGAAAAAAATATTTTTAATCCTTAATTTTTATTAAATCCATGAATGTTAATAAAAAAATCAAAATAAATTAGTATGTAATAATAGGGTAAACAATAGATACCAATATTCTGAAATCGTATTAGTGGATAAATTTTTTTTATCCTTACCTGTTTCATTACCTATTAGATATTTTTAATAAGTATTTATTAAATCGAACAAAAGAATCGGATAAAACGAGTATCCGTTTTGTACACGGTCTATTGCGATCCCTAGTTATATGACATGCCAAACATTCAAGTGTTTTCACATAATTTAATAAAAAAAAAACCAGAAATTAAAAGATTGATTTGAGATTTGTTCTAAAAATGAATTTCAAACTAACCATGCTTGTGTATGTAAAATGTAAATTCAAGCTTATTTATTTTTGTCAATGGAAGTCTGGTCTTTTTTTTTATAAGATATTCCTTATTGGTGGTAAGGAGTATCCCACCCATTTCTCTAAAAAGACAAGAGTAGTTGTTCCGTTTGGCTAATTACTAATGGTATACTAACAATATTATATTATATTCAGTTTTTGCAAATTATGGGCCCAAAACATATCCATCAATTTATATTCTACGATCTTAATTCTATTTATTTCCTGAAGTCCATTGACATGCACATTTATCAAGAAAGTAGAGCCAATGATAAGAATTAAATATAATAATAAAAAAAAAGTAAACTAATCCCCCGTTAGTGGTCTGCCCTTCACATGGTCTTGACTTCCATTGACACCCACACAATCTCGTAATTATCTCCAAAGCCAAGCCCTTTTCTCTACCTCAACATCCTTATAATCACCTACATTACTTTTTAAGTCAGCATAGCTTGACAGTTTATTCTCACACCGTCCTCACTTTCTCACTTTCCCACATTTTCTCTCTCTTTCCGGGAAAATAATGTCCAAGTGCGACAAAATCCGGCACATTGTTAGAATCCAGCAAATGCTTAAACGGTGGCGGAGGAAGGCAAGAGTGACAGCAGGAGCAACAAGTTCACGTACTGCTGCTGCTGCACCGTCTGATGTCCCAGCAGGTCACGTAGCTGTCTGTGTGGGAGCCAGTTGCAAAAGGTTTGTTGTACGTGCGACGTACCTTAACCATCCCATCTTCAAGAACTTGCTCGTGGAAGCCGAGGAAGTGTACGGTTTCAGAAACATTGGGCCGCTAGCTATCCCATGTGACGAGGCTGTCTTTGAAGAGATTCTCCGGGTCGTGTCGAGATCCGACCCGAGCAATTCAGGTCGGTTTTTAAATCTTGATGACCTTAAGAGATGCTGCCACGTGGGCATGAGGAGAAATATTGAGCTTTTGGGTGAATCAAGGCCGTTGCTTCATGGTTAGGTGGTACTGGGTTGACTCAGCGAGTTATTGAGTCGAGTGGACTAACAATATCAATAATTTCTAAAGAATTATTTTTAGTGAGGTATTGGGTTTTCTTTTCATTTTTCATTTTTTTGTTTCTTAATAGGAGATGACAAGTAGGGGTTGTTTTTTTTATTAACCGAGTCATTCCGAGTTGAAGAAAAAGTGGGGTGGAACATTATTGTATTGATATTTATTTAAGTGTAATTATGACTCTTTGGACTAATTATAGAAGAAAAGGTGTCAAAATTTGCATTAGATCGATTCGATAAATTAACGGATAAAAATGTTACTCGTGCTTTCCTAGCAAAGTAATTTTAACTCTCTCTCTCTCTCTCTGTTTTTTTTTTCTGTCTAATTATTACTTTTTCTTTGGAATGATAGATTTGAATCTTACAATCCATCAATTGCCGTAATTTGGCATCAAAATAGTAATTATGATTCTGATGGAGTGTGCCGTTAGTGCTAATAACTTATCTCTCAAAATTACTTTGTAACGTTTCAAGGATTCAAGGTTTTTTTTTTTTTTTTCGAAATTTGGTTACACTTAAAATTAGAGAAATCTGACAGTTTAGATCTTCTGTTTAGCCAAATTAAAGGTGATTGTAACATGCATAACAAAAGTTTTAAATTTGGTTGAAATGGTATGTGGGTTTTCAAATTTGAGATTCAAATACAAAATACATTTCAAATATGAATATAAAAAAAAGTTAAAATAAAATAAATTGGGAATGAATGTTTGGATGAGGATAATTTGAAATTAAAGTTTGGTTATTGTTGTAAAATGATGGGAAAATATCCTTCCAAGTATATAAGTTTGCATGATTCTTCAGTCTTGCTTATTCATCATGTACAAAATTACAAATTACAAATTGCATGTATAGGCTACATCACAGTGGAATTGGACGCTTCTGGGTCTACGATAATCATAATTTATTGTCCAAAAGTATTTTCTATAGTTTATACAAAAAAAAAAAAAATGATTGCGGAAAGTGGCTTTTGGCGATCAAATCTAACATTTAAGATGGCTTTTGAAGAATCAAACTTTAGTTTAAACAAATCTACTTTTTGTAAGATGTTTTCAACAAGATTAGAATAGGCTTTACTTTGCTCGTCAAGATAAGGTTCATCAATTCCACGAAAAGCCAAAGGTCAAGTGAGGCGCTGGTACTTTGTCATCATTCATGTTGCTGCCGCCAATCACTAATCATGTTACTTGGCCCCCTCCCTCCGTCGTTAAATTACGTCGTAAGCTTACCATCCCAAAGCCAATATTTATGTAACTTGACATGCAATTCCATTTAGGGTGCTGGTTTTAACGGTGTTCTCCGAGTATTAGTCTAAACTACGTCTTCCTTGATTGAATTTTAGGCAAATCATGGATGATTAAGTCAATGTATTTATCAGAAATTTCAATAATTTCACAGTTTACTCTAAATTCAAACTTAAGATAAATAACTTGAGAAATAGACCTTATCGACTAATCCCTCAAATATAATTTGAAATAAAATTTGTTTTACCACGTAAAGAGGATTATTTTGGTTGGTGCCTTTCACTTTCCTTAGTGTTAGTTTTAAGGAAAATAAATACTTTATTTTTCTAAAGAGATTTCCCACTTATTTATTTATATTTGTTTCAAAATATTTGTTTGTTTAAAATTTTAACTGATGTATAAATTTTTAAAAACATCTCTAATTAAAGTTTTTTTTTTTGTGTAAAAATTATACAAACGCAATATTTTTTTTTTTGAAAAATATGAACAAAAGATGTTGAAATGGACAAAAAATTAATAATTTTTTTGATATTTATAAAAATCAAATGAAACAATGGAGGGAGTAATTGTGTCTCAGATGACAACATTATTATATAAAAAGGTAAATATTAATCAAATTTGCTAACTCAGCTTTTTTTTCTGTTCCTTACAAAAAACACCAACAAAAATTATAATACCTATGCTTTGGCTAATCGAATATGACTACATGACCAATTAAATGTTATCTTTTTTTATTGACAAAAGAGCATGCATGTTTTGACAGCAGAAAGAAAAAAGGAAGGAAAGAAAGAAAAAATGTTTTGACAGGATCGGAGGAAGAAACAAGAAAGAAACAAAGAAAGAAGTTGGCCGTGCTCGTTGTAAAAGAAACATCCAAATGAATTGAACTAACCGGAAGACTTCTTCAATGGACTTCTGGAGCCTTTACATCCTATATTGATGATTTGCAACTAAACCCAAATCTATAACTTAGGAATTAATTTCATTGATTAAAACTGGATGGGATTTTCTTTTTGAGAAATGAAATGAATTAAGTAGAATGCTTCAATAAGTTTACCTAAGTTACATGGTGATCTATCCAGTATGCAATCTTTGCTAGAGGTTAAAAAAGAAAAAAGAAAGAAAGAAACATACAAGAGCAGGCAATCGAAGGAGCTTCAGCTATTATTGTTACAAACTTGGACCACGTACAGTCAGGTATGCACACCACTAACCTTCATGATATTGAATGATATAGAGTCATGATTGTAGCTTACTTTTCAATTAATATCCGAAAGTCTCGAAGCTTAGCATATTCTACGTGTAATTGCTGCTTGATAGACCAAAAATCATGAAAGTGACAGACAAAGCTGTCCCTATTCCATAGAGAAAGAAAACTGAAATGATCAATTTGAGGTTTGATGATTGAAAGATAATCAAGCAAGAGGGCAATGAAAGATGCATGCATTCTACAAATTAAGAAAACTGATTTTGGCTTTTTTCCTAGTAGCTTTATCTATACGTGAAGCGATACAAAAATGGCCGTCATTTTTTAAGTGTCAATTGATGGCTGCTTACCCGTAAGTCTTTCATACATGGATCATGGTCTGTTTTGTCAAACAATAGACCAATCATCTTGTAAGAAAAAGGATTAGGCAAGTCTTCTGTTCATCCATTTCATTTCAATCAGTCAACGGAGTAATCTTCCGTCCTTGGATGTTGAAGTAGAGAATTTTTTCCACATCGTGATCGAATATACATCGATGTATTGAATTAATCCATGCCTAGCGTAAGGGGAAACGAAAGTGTACACGAAATGTGTATTTATTGATACTTTTTATGGATCACAATTCATTTCAACAAGCTAGGGCTCATTCCAGGGTTTTCTGGGCAGCTTATACCTATTCATTTCAACGTCTCTAAAGTTGTGTGATTGCTCCAATACAGAGCTCAGTTCAACCAATTTTCATGTTCCTTTGTCCAAAAAGGATCTGGATTTGAGCTTCTTTTGTGAAAAAACAAAAAGTTTTGCGATCGTTTCTTATCATTCCCGTTTTTTGTTACTTGTTTAAAAAAAATGTAAAATGTTAAAGCAAACTGGTTTTCAAAGACCGATAATATTAATTGGTTTTGTTGGCAAGTTTTTTTTTTAAAAAAAAATAAAATTCAAACAATAGAAAACGAAAACCTATTCATGTCATGAGCAATACTTGACCTTTTTTTTTTTAATTAGCCATGTATTATATGGGGAGATAAATTTTATAATACATAACAAATAATTACTAATAATTATTTAATAAAAAAAGATTGATCTAACAAAAAAATAAATTTGAGCCAAAAATGAAATTATTTTTATTAATTTTAATTGGTTTCGTATATGTGATTTTTTTTCAATCTTTCTTGTTAAAATGAATTTATAAAATAAATATGATATGGCACTTAATGAGTATTTTAAAATTTTTTAATCCACGTAGAACGCATCCAATGAAAAGAAGTCAAGTATTCCTTATGAGTCATGACAGCATCATGCTTTGGTTGGGGAATGGACTCAGCAGTCGAGATTAGCTTTTTCGTGGGTTGAATTTGTTTGGTAAAAGAATACTATAAGCACAAGGAATCCACTCTGTTTCTTTATTGCCCGAACTTTGCTAGCCACGTGCCAGATTTGGTTTTGAAGGAGCCTAAACTTGGGTAGTCTGATCGCCAGATCATCACAGTTTAAGTGATCGTTGGGTTGGGTCGAACAAAATAGGGCCCTTTCAATCTCCAATCACAAAGGTCTTAAAGATTCCAACTTTGTTTCAACAGGCCCTTCAAGTCTTTTCAACACAGGTGGCATCAAGACCTTTCTATCTATTCTCAGAAAATAGTCTTTTTTTATCCAAGTGTCCCTCGATGATTGATTGATTATAATGATCAGAAACTAAAAGGGCTGTGAGATTAGGAAAATTAAGGCAGATATTATGCAAAATTTGGTCTTATTATGTCAATGACAACCTAGAATTGACATGGATTTTAGCCATGGCAAAAGTAGCCAAACTCAAAATGTCTAATCAATGGCGAAAGCTGTTAATACGAGAATATAATGAGATCACTATGGTGATGGCTGGATCCATAATACAGAAGAACATTCCTTTTGAACTGGCAAGAACATGTGTAAGTATGTGTAAGCTTCGATCATATTAATGTGGGATGTGTTAGATGCTGCATTAGCTTTTGGATATGTATTATAATATTTGTTGTACTTGTAAGTATAGATATCAATTGATGGATATCCGACTCGTTGATTTAATTTTTTTATTCTATCAATCAAAATAATACTATACTTATTATTTTGAGATTATAATATGAATTTTTATTCGGATCATATTTCACTCATATTAGTTTTCTGGTTCATTTAATATCCATTAAATAATCTTTAAATTTAATTTTTTTAAAATATTCATTTTAGCTCTTTATTTTTTAAAAAAACTTGATCCTTAAATTTTATTTTTTTTACATTTTGATCATTTATTTATGAGTTTTTTAGTCCTCAAAGTTTTCAAAAAAAAATATTTTGATCCTTAATTTTTAAATTTTATACAATTAGATCATTTTATGTTAATAAAAAAATTTAAATAAATTAGTGGATATTGATAGGATAAACAGTAGGTATCCATATCTTGAAACTATATTAGTGTGTATATATTTTTTTTACTCTTATTCACTTCAATATCCATTAAATATTTTTAATGGATACTTATTAGGCCAAATAAAAAGGATATCTGTTTTATACCCATTTCATTGACATCTCTATTTGTAGGTCTTGAAAAAAAAAAAAAAACAAAGAAATAAGAAAAAGGGTGAATTCAAACATTAATTCAATCTTCTCCTTTAATGACAACGTAGTTGTTATTCGATTATAACTTAACCATAAAAAGAAACTATAATTCACCATAATTATATAGTATCATTATGAATTCGAGAGTGGATTCGTTTGTGTTCATAAATTTAGATAATACAGTGGATAAATATTATTTTTTGCATTTTATTCTTGAAAATGAATTATAAAAACAAGAATTAATTATCATAAAGTGTTTTTTTTCCTTTCACCTAAGTAGATGTTTTCATACAAGTTCCCACCAAATATATTTGTTTTGTAATACCATCACCCACTTTTTTGTTCCCAAAAAGCTATTAAAATCGAAGATTAGTAAAATATTGTGAACAAGACTATTTAATTTTCGTTTTCATTTATTTTTGTGGATGTAACTCTTTTAATTGCCTAATTTTCTTTAATGGAATCCTCCCTTGCACTCACATCTGAATGGTTTATCATTTTTATTTATTATTATTATTATTATTTGGCTTATATATAAAGCCAACAACAAAGCTTGATCAATACTTCCGAAAAATGGACAATCCTATTGAAAGAAAAGATTGGACGATCCTATCTCTATTCCTAATAGTACAAAGTGTCATTTTCTTTCTTCTTCTTTTTTTTTTTTTTTGCCATAATTGATCCTTTTCATTGATAAAAAAAGAGAAAAAGGATCATAAATCTCAAATTATAGCAAATCTAAATTTACATCAACATTTAGAGAGGATTTTGAAGTTATTTACAAATGTCTAAAAGCACAATTAAGAGATTTTGTTCGAAATAAAACATGTGATAAGACTAAATACTGATAAAAAAAATACTCATAGAATGACAATATTTGTACAAAATATTCATAGTAAAGTATTAGTCTTTGTAATTGTAGGCACTTGAATTTTGTGTATTCTTATGAGTAGATTATAAATTAGTTTCTTTAGTCTTAAAAAATGAATTAATAAGGTTTTTTGGTTTTAAAACTAATTATTTAGTCTTTGTGTATAAAAATGTACTTATAATTTACTTTTTTTCAATTTATTTTATTTTTTATCTTAATAAAAAAATATGGAAAAAATAGAAAAAATTGAATAGAAAAAAGCAAATTTTGTGGAATACAAATACATTATATTAAATATAATCAATACTTATTGAAGTATTATATAATATTTTTATTTCTTAAAACTACAGGACTAATTTATAATTTAGTTCTATTCATGTCGTAGGCTCCTCGAATCGACAAGGGCCAGCCATGCCAAGTGGGCACAAATCTTATATTCCACTTGTTTTTCTCATAACAGTCCATCCATGGGGGCAACAATCACATGCTCTTCATCCCCAGCAACAGTAATACTCCACGGCTGCCCCAAAGCAATATCTGACCAACCACATACTTATATCAAACTTTTGGGTGTCGTTTTCAAATTTGGTCCTTCAGTCATTGTAATAGGGTAGTCTGTAGGCGAACAGGTGATATTATCGTGTCCGTACAAAAAGAAATTTATTTTAGCAATGCAAAGGAATGATACGAACCACCAGTACAAATTCGTACCTTTGGGTAATAAGACAATATTGTCCTTCCCTTTGTAAAGTCCTTACTCGGGATGTTTTTGGTTAAAAGTGGAACGAGAATGCTCTTAACTATTTTGATAATGATGCTGCGAGTACAGCTTGCTTTTCAGAGGAAGGTTTTCTTTTGTTATAATATTTTGAACTTCATAAAATTAGAAATAAAACTAATATTATTTAAAAATAATAATGTTTAAGTTTTTTCAATAATTATAATTTTAAAATTAAAATCCTATATATTAATAAAAAATTTGTTTAAAAATTATTTTGTTTATCGTTGGATCAATAATTTGGTGGTACATTTTTTTAATTTTTATTTATAAACCATTTTGTTTTCAAAATTAGGACTAATATGGCATATACCTAAGTTAGATCAAGCATGTTTACAATTTTTTTATTTAGTGATAAATTTGAATCATCAATCAAATTTATCAAGATTAAGCACACAAGTTCAATTATTTTACCGAAGAAAATTAGAACTTGTATCGTAGTAAGGGCCGTATGAAAGAAAATTCAAGAATAGGAGAATGTGATGAATAAAAAAAAACAATAGGATCACATTAAAAATATTTAAAGAATAAAGGGATGTTTTTTTGCTATTAATCGGGCTTAGTTGAGGGAACGATTTGATTTATTAATCATCAAGTTTTATATATTTCGTACGATTTGATTTATTAGTCATCAAGTCCTCAGTACTCTTCAAGCCATCAAAGTAGAAATCTGAATATTTACAATATTATACATGTCCAAAATATTTTAATATGAAAGATAAACTTGTGAACTCTGAATATTTACAATATTATACACACACATACTAAATTAATTAATGCAAAGTAGAACAAATCGCTGGACCAACAACCATGACGGGAGAGATTGAGATTGCTATGGCCTCTTGCCAAAAACATCCTTCATGCAAGAGAAGAATCACACCGACGGCAACGATAGTTTGAGTGATTGTAGAGTGTATGACAACTAAAGAATCTTCAAATTTTTCCATCACCCGAACAATAGAAATTGTCATGGCATAAAAGGTAGCAAATAAGAGGCAAACATACCAATGTCCTTGAGATATAAAAAAGGCTATGAATTGAGCTAGTCCATAAACAAACCAGATCATCGTACCATATCGATCACGTGTTTTGAGTATGATTTCTATAATCTTAAAACGGTAAGTTTCTAATAGCGAACTAAGGTAGAGAGCAGAAGTGACATTATAACCGACAAGGACAACATACCCTTGAACATAATAAAAGTCAATTATAACAATAGGTTCCATAATTGACAAAGCAAATACGACTATCCCTAAATAGATGATAACTAAGAAAAAGATTAACAAAGCAAGTGTTTTTGCCTTCTCTATTGCATATTTCGTCATATCTGTCTCTCCGGCTTTCAATAAGATCAAGAGAGATGCATCTGAAATTTATTGCATCATGTCATTCAAACAGTCCTACTTGGTAACAGAGTTAAACGTACTTGATTTCTTATTTCTCAGACCATACAAGGCTAAGTTTTCTAAACTTTGAAGTTTATTAGACCTCTTAAGGATTTTTTTTTTTGGTTTGTTTAAAAAAGATCACATGATTATATATATATATATATATATATATATATATATATATATATATATATATATATATAATCAAGTGTTGTAAAAATAACAAGGTATTTGCCAACCCTAGCAGGGTAGGGCAACAATCACATGCTCCTCCTTCTTAGCAACAACAATATTCACAATTACTATTAATTATTTTTTTGTGTATTATAAAATACATATCATTAATTATTAGACATGTTACTAATTATTATTTTTTATCCCTAACAACAATAATTATTAGATATGTCATTAATTATTTTTTTATGTATTATAAAATTTATCCAAGCAAGCAAAAATCTTATATTCCACTAGTTTTTTATGGTGGTCCATCTGTGGGGGCAACAATCACATGCTCCTCATCCCCAGCAACATGGCTGCCCCAAAGCAATATCTGACCAACCGCACAACAATATCAATTTTTGGGTGTCGATTTCAACTTCACTTATTATACAGGGAAGCGTGTAGGTGAATAGGTGATATTATCATGTCCTTACAAAAACAAAAAATTTTAGAAATGCAAGGGAATGATAGGAACCACCAGTACAGATTCGTACTTTTGGGTAACAAGACAATATCGTCCTTACCTTTGTACAGTCCTTGCTCCTAGCCTCGGAAATTGCATGGGCTGTTTTTGTTTAAAAGTGGAACGACAGTATTCTTAACTCTTTTGATTTTGGTCCTGACGCTTCTGGGACCAAAGTTTTCTATCGTTATCATACTTTGAACTCCTAAAATTTGCATTTATAAAGCATATACTGGTTCTTGAAAACTAATATATATTTTGCTTAAGGAAAAACTTTTGAGTTTTCGAAATTAGGACTTAAATGTGGATTATATCTACATTAGATCTTAAAAATTTACAAAAAAGATTATTTTTTTATTTAGATCAAAATTGAATCATCCATCAATTAATGTAATATAAGCATAAAAATGTCAACAAGACGGAAACTTATCAAGATTAAGCACACAAGTTCAATTATTTTACCGAAGATAATAAGAAGTTGTATCGTGTAATTAACTCACTGGAACAGTACTCACACAGAGTTATTTGAGATTACTTCTTTTATTTTCTAACCTTGACGTTCTTACAACAAATACATAATTATAAGTTAAGTGTCAATATTATTTATATAAAATAGAAATAATTAATTATCAATATAACTTTTTTAAGAACACAAAAATCACTTATTGTAATTACTATTGAGTAGTAGTATATTGGTAATAAGAGATCATTTCATTACTATGATTAATCAATGCTTTTTTTTTTTCATTGTTGAACATGTAGTTCAAGATATTTCTTTGAACTAGAAATAAGAATTTCCTATGGGTTTTATCAGGAGATTTCAGTTTTGTATGTAGACTATATATGGTTAGGAATGTGTGGAATAGAAGAGGGAGTGATAGTTGAATGAGGCAAAAAAAGTTGAAAATGAGATGATGAGTAAATAGCAGACACCTAGTCCGACAAAACCTACTCATAGTATCTCTTCAAATATATTTTGGAGCCTGACATATTATCCCCACACCACCACACAAGTGGCTCTCCTTGTTCCTCACCTAATTCATAGAAAAAAAGACATCATCACTTCAAGTTTTCGCAAATAAATCCACCAATTCCAACATTAACTATGACGAATAAAGCAAACAAACACATACAAAGAATTGGACAAACTACTGTTGATCTATACATGTTTCAAGTTAGTTTTTTTTTTTTTTTTTGGACATCAATAGAGTCCAAAGGCTAGCCAGCTTCAAATGAATTTCTGAGCTGTATTTTATCAATAAGTTTCTGCAATATTTATTTATCTTCAACATGACATATTGTGGTTCACAGGGCTGCTGCCTGCCGATCCATTTCGGGACCTTATTGCTGTGACAAAAGAGGCCTCGTTAATGACATTCAATACCGTCCTATCATGCATGCAATGGCCGCTATACATGATATAATACATTGTATTTCAGCTGCATCTTCCCTAGCAAAGCTGACATGCAAGGCTAGCTAGCATGTTCTAATTCGACATATTTGTTGATCAATGCTTTTTTATTTTATATTTTTTTTATAGATATTCAAAGCCATGAATGAAGCTTGAACAATTAAAAATGGTTTGAAAACCAGAGGAAAAGTCAATATTATTGTACCATATTATCAAGCATAAGAAAAACGGTCATGAATTTAGCTTTAGCTTGGATCAATGTCATTTGAAACCAATAGGAATATATATATATATATATATAACCATAGGAAAGTCAGTGCCAGTGAATGTTATAAAGTCAAGGCATAAATGGTTGTTGAAGAAAAGGAAGCTCAACACATGGATAAACAGGGTTTTCTCTTCGAAAATCCATGGTCGTACGATTAGTTAAGGGAAACACGAGAGCTATGATCAAAGCACACACTTGTGTGAAGGAAATAAAGTGGATATTTGTTATCATAATTTATGACTGGATGTCCATTATTTTTATTTGTAAAGGAAAACGTATATATACGAAGGATAAAAAAGGATTTGTAAAAATTATACTATTTCAATGCTCCATTGTATGAACGCTAAGTAATGTCACGTTCTTTAAGGATTTGTAAACCTCAAGAGTTTTGTCTAATAATTAAAGATGTTTTTTTTATGAGTTTAATTTTAAGGTTAGTATTTAAAAAAAATGATTAAAATTTTTGATCGAAACACAAATTGATTTAAGTATATCTTTAACGTTAAAAAAAAAAAAGGAATTGAAATCACTTTGAAAAATGTCATACATTGAACAGTACTGAATCCCGTAGGTTTAAAAAGGTTGAAACTTTTTGAGAAGAATAGGGAATACAGTGAATCTTAATTACGATTAAAAAAAAATATTAATTAATTTTGAATCTGTTGATGATGATGCCGATTAACATGCATGTTCCAACTTTCATGCATGACTGATACCTGATCCTACAAAAGCACTTATTTTAATTGCCCAAATTTTTAATTTTTAGTTTAGTCTATTTATCACAAATTACGCAAGTAATTTTCCATATTTTTCATAAATTACATACGTTTCCCATGAATCATGTCCCTGAAATTGTTGTGAAATTTTTTAAAAATTTGCAAACTCAAATGTCATGAAAATCATACATATTTCCTCTTTTCACATAAGTAT